TGTGGGAGGAAGCCGGAGAACCCAGAGAGAACCCACGCTGCACGGGGAGAACATGCAAACTCCACGCAGAAAGATCCCAGGTGTCCTCACCGGGACGCGAACCAGCAACCTTCTTGCTGAGAGGCAACAGTGCTAACTACAAAAACAAATATATTGAGTCAAAACCAAGACTTCTAGAGTTTCAAAATGACTCTCCAAGTATTACTGAGAGAATATCTTTTATAAATGTGTGAATAATTTTCATTTTCAACCTCCACTTTGGAGGCACAAAACTTCATTTGGAGGAGACTTGTTGTGAAATGAAAAATGACGATTACTTCCCTTCCCCACAAAAATGACAAACGTACGAGTGTCACAGCTGAAGACAGTTGAGTCTGATACGGTTTGGATGTTAGACATTAAAGCAAAAGTGTCCTCAGCTAGCTGTAATTTTGATCGGAGCACATGAGGAAGAGGTCGGGGTGGATGTGTGCTGTGCAGGTAGAATTAACCATGAGCTCTTAGGTTATTATATATTATCTGTTTTTCATTTTATTTAAATGTGTCTTTGTTAGTGTGAGTAGAGTAACTTTGTTGAAGCCTAATTATAGAAGAATTACCTGGGGTCAAAGGGTCAAGGTTAGAGGTCAACTAGAGAAGATATGTTTACTCCTAAAAAGGTTTTGTCTTTGGAAAGATGACCTCAGGCTTCTTAGATGTGTGGACACTATGCAGTGAGGTTTAAATGTACAATCTATTACAACAGACCAATAGGAAAAGAGTTTGTTTACTTTAAATGCTGATGAATTATTCATGGTCCTCGATGGAGAGAGGAGGGAGGTCTCTCTGCTCATGTTGAGTAGAGTCTTCACCATTGTGCTATAATTAAGTATGTTTCAAGCTATTATGCATTCTGAGTCTGTATGTTTCCATGAAGCCTATGGTTCTTATGTTTCGAGCTATTATGCATTCTGAAATGTATTTTGCACTGAGCCTATGATTCTGTTTGAGCACAGCATACGTCCTTGAAGATAACATGACCAGTGAGAACCGGTTCACACACCTGGAGATAGCGGAAACTCCTCTTTTCTATCAGATACGATTGTTACTTTAGCTACACGCCGTACCAACAGCACCCACACATGATGCTTACCAAATTTCAAGGACGTGGACAGAGCGTGGAAGAGGTATGCCTGTCCATGTCATCGGTAACTGGCCGATTAGACTTGGTAGTGTACAAGTCTTATCTATGTTCGGGGCAGGTCCAGCCCAAGAAGATATCTGTAACCTGAAACTGGAGAAACTCAGTTCAGCTGGACATGAGATCTGTCTGTCTGAATCCAGCGCTGCAAAACTTGTCATGTGACCTGAATAAACTGTTAACCTGAGACCTGAACTTTTCTCTGACTAATTCTTGGAGCTGTTTCAACAAAAGAACCAGGTCTAACAATTGTAATGATGTAATTTTATTCTCCTTATTGTTAACAATGATACATTTACAGACAAATAAACAGTGTGTTTGTTGTCGTATTCAAAGGTAGAACCCAAGAGTAAAATATCCCCGATGATGTGTGGACAAAACATCGGACTCGTGTTCATTGTTGATGAAACTGATGTTCATTTTCTACTTCAAAACCAGTAAAAATAGATTCTCTCCATCATGCCCCTTTCATGTCAGAATAATACCAAATAAAACAAATGGAACACTTTTTTATGAAGTACTTGCTCACAAAAATAAAAAGAAGTTGTTTTTGTTGAACTTTCATAACTTGATTGAGCAGGTGTGACAACTTCCATCCATCCATTATCTATACACCGCTTAATCCTCACTAGGGTCTATGGGGGGGCTGGAGTCTATCCCAGCTGACTTAGGGTGAAGGCAGGGGACACCCTGGACAGGTCATCAGTCTATCACAGGGCTACACTTAGAGACAGACAACCAAGCACACTCACATTCACACCTACGGACAATTTAGAATCACCAATTAACCTCAACATGTGTGTGGACTGTGGGAGGAAGCCGGAGAACCCGGAGAGAACCCACGCTGCACGGGGAGAACATGCAAACTCCACGCAGAAAGATCCCAGGTGTCCTCACCGGGAGGCGAACCGGCGACCTTCTTGCTGCGACATTAAGACCCTTTAACAGTTAATCAAGGTGAGAGCAGCTCACCTGCTGAGAGCGACATTCAGCTCAGGTGTGTCGGCGTCGTCCCTGCCATCAGTCCTGTGTTCAAGATGTCCTGGTAAACCAAGCAAGCTCTATTCTAATTAGTACTGTTTTAACTGTTACAATAATGTCGGGGTGGATTTCCTCCCTGATGTATTGAGGTTTTTTAATGGAATTTGTTTGGATTTTTAATAAAGTAATGATTTGTTGTTTCTTTTTATAAGAAAACGGTGGCAGCAGTAGCAGCAGGAAAGTTAAATTCACAGACAAAGTGTTAGTTGCTATTTATGTTACATGTGTTGCTTTATGTTGTTCTATTTTTGGTACTTGGTTACTAATAAAATATATATATGTTATTTTTTAGTGCTGCTTTATGCCTCCTTGTAGGAGTGGATGACGCAGTGGGAATTCACCTCCTGATGTGTAATGATATCATTTAAAGTTTGGGTGTTTTTCCATCAGGGAAGCTTTACTTTGTATGTTTAGCACACTCCCAGTGCACCGGCCTGCTGATGACTGAACTAATCCTTCCCCTGTCTGCAGCAAGACCCTGGAATTTTTACCCTTTTTTACAGCTGATATTAGTGACCCTGACTTTAACAAACCAGTCAGTAATGACACTGGTTGTTGACTTTGTTATTGACGAACATAACATTTCTCTAAACCAGGTTTACCATGATGTTGCCACATTACATACGTTTCCTCTGCTATGTGTCCTCTTATGAGTCTTATCAGTTTGGTGGGACAAAGAGCTCATAGAGTTGTTTAAGCTGTTGCTGCTACAAGATGTTTTGATTAGATGTAATTTATTTGTCATGTAAATGAGCTTTATCTACAATCAGTACAGTTTAGAGCTCGGTGGTGCTTCAGAGAGAACTTGTTGGGTCACATGACTTTGAAATCAATCACTGAATACAAATAAGGGTTTTTTTTTGTAATAGTAATAAACTCCATCGGATTGCCAGTGACGTGTAATCTTTTCTGAAAACTTCTGACCTACATTTTGAACACTGTCCCTCATATACACCTTCTCTAAACATTTCAAAAGAGCTTAAATTCTAATACAACTGATTTCAGGATTCATAGTGGATCAAATCACTTTTAGAAAAACAAGCTGCAGATGTATGTGAATGGAGTTGAGACGCTGATTCTTTTGTAAATGTCGTTGCTGTTTTTAAATAAAGTACTTGCTTAAAATAGTCGTACATTAATATGAATTTTTAAAAAAACCCTCCATCATCCATAAATCAGCATTAAAAATCAAACATTAGTTAAGTCACTAACACAACTGAAACTGGCAACTAGAGAAGAGTAGCCTACTCTTTGCTTTGCCATATTTTAAAGACGAATCAAAATGTAATCTAGTAATCCCTGACAAAGCATTACAATTTTATTGCACATTTTTTAAAATGTAATCTGGGATGATTATAGTTGCTCATACTTTTGTAATCTGATTACATAATCCTAACCACATAATCCATTTCTACGCAATCCTGAGAGAGAAATATTCGTCTACATGTAAAAAAAACAAGCCCCATAAATGGACTATATTAATATATATTAGGATTAAAGTTGCATTCTTTTTAATCATAAACACATAATGAATTGTTTGAATTTATTTAAAGGTTTTCTGGTGTCTTGATTCTCTGCAGTTCTTGCACAATCTGCTGTTTCTATTCTAAACTTTATTCATCTCTTTGACTGTGTGAGTGTAAACAACCTTTCTATGGCTTTCTAGTCTTTATGTTGGAGAAAAGATGCGTAAATCCAAACTGAAGCAGTCTGTCCACATCAAACCAGCAGCAGATTGACCCCTCTAATTCATTTCCTCTCCCAGGCTCTGTTCGTCTTCTCCTTGTGCGAGTCACCCACTTGTAGACACTGTTTACGACCAACGGACTGAAGCAGAACAATTGAAACTCCACCGCAGAAGTGACCATAAACCACATGACATCAGTTTTGGCTCCAAGGCTTCATTCCTGAAGTTGGCTGGTTCGGAAAATGTGGCCAAAAGGCAACAGGTAGGAGTAATAACAGGCTGAACCACAGACCTCTCAAGAGAAAAAAACTCATGAAATACTGTATTAAAGTATAAGAACACTTGTGGTTAATTTACCTTTAACTTAATAAGGGGTATTTCATTATAATTCCTTTGTAGTGAAGGTGCTGTGGGATACTGTTTACATTTCCTAATAGCATCAACAGGTCCTGCAGTGCTGCTGCATATATACTATTAAAGTAACTGAAGTCATCTGTAATTAGCTACTTCAGGTTTTGAAAGGGGATACTGTGTGTAGGAGTGAATTTACTGACAGTGTAGGAAGCTTAAATAGGTCTTGGCAGTTTTTAATGAGTCTGTGGGTGCAGTGAGAGTGAGTGAGTGTGATGCTAATTAAAAATGTCCTGCTCAGGGCTTCTGTCGCGTATATAAGACGGACAGACGGAGGGTTTGAGAGAAGAAGAGGAGAAGTGAAACACAGAGAAGGTAAACACTGATGCTCTCACTTTGTTTCCACCACTGTGCTCCTTTCTCTCTGTCACACTCCGTCTCTGTATGTCAGTGTTATTGTTCAGATCACAGTCTGTTTACACTGAGTCTTGGATGAAGATGATGATGATGATGATGAAAACATCACTGGGGCTTCTGCTGCTCGGCCTTGTTGCGACTGCTGCTGCTGCTGGACCAGGTACATACAGACATATATATATATATTCAGTATTTTTGTATGTGTATTTACGATGCCTTACAATTTCTATTAATGCATCTATTGAGTCTTATGCTGTCAAAAATAACCTTTATTGTGAAATAATGCGCCTACTAAAGCAGCTATGATATAATTATGTACCTGCGATACCTTGAGATGTCTTACACAATGTTTAAAGTACATTTTCAATTACCTTTTGTACCTTAATGTACCTCTGATATCTTATAATATGTTTTAATCTTCTACGCTGCCCAATGGAGTCTCATTGAGCAACACACCCTACAATGTCAAACAATGACTCTACATTTAAAGAAAAAATAATCCATAAAAACACAGTTACAATCGGTCAGCAATTAAAAGCATTAAAAACTGTGAAAATAATTGGAAATATAAGTAAAATAATAATATTTTTACTGATTTAAATTCATTCAAACAGTGTAATTATAATATCATACAGAACAAATTACTATTTGTAAAAAATAATACTAATATCTACAGGTTATGTGCAGTTTGGGTAAATTGAAACCTTTTTTTTCTGTGATTGTACCAGATATTATCTGTGAAACAGGGTAAGTCTGTAAAGTAACAGTTTTCAAAAGTGATTTATTTTCAGAGACTCCTACACATATTAATTCCTTCACATATCAGTAAATGTGTGTCTAAAATTTATAGTTTTTCTGATTTAAACAGTAAAAAAAAAGCGTCATTTTTGCCACACATTGTAAAGGAATGAAGTATTATTTGTAAAGTACAAATCTTTAATGTGGACATTTATTGTAATTCTGTTTGTTTTACTTTGTTTTTCTACAGTTATGTAAATTAACATTTTTTCCTTATGGTCTATAATTTAACAAAATGGGAAATCTGCTGCATAACAGTAAATTGTGGTCTAAATTTTAAAAAATCTGTTACACACATGTAAGAAAACAAGGTCATTTTTACATTGTAATATACAAATTATTTATCTATGTGTCTGATAACCCACCTCTATTCTTTTAAGTATCTAATAATGCAGCAATCATAATATCTGATTGTTAACATTGTGCCTATAATGACTGAGGCTGTTTTACAGTCCAGTAAATGGATTTTAAACTCTTATTGATGTGACATGTCTCCTGTCTCAGGCAGCTGCTCCGGTCGTTGTGGGGAGGTTTATACCAGAGGTCAGCAGTGTAACTGTGACTACGGCTGCCTGAAACACAACGAGTGCTGCCAAGACTTTGAGGCTACTTGCACCATCGGTAAGTTATGAGTAAAAACAACCTTTTTATCTCAGATTTTTCTCATGTAATATACCAAAATGGCGTCTTCTTTTTTGGTTCCTATAACACTTTGTTGAATAGCAATAAACTGCTGCACATAACAGAGCATTAAACCTCTAAAACATATCTTCTGAGGAGTCGGTCGTGGCACTAACATTAGCATTTATCAGGAGGACTAAAACCGACACCAAATGAAAGTTCTTGTTCTGCGTCTGCTGAATGTGTAAATAGATAATTATTTGCTAAAATGTTTAGTCGTTACAACCGTTACTGACTGAAGATTGTATCAAGAGATGGATGTAGCCACCATGATGTCACTCATTGGTTTGTGGATGACTGTTGTGGAAGCCTTGAGTTTGTCATTGTGCTTGTGAAACTTGCACTACTTTACTGACTATTTTACTCTAAATAGGACCATAACTTACTAAATAAACATCGAGCTGTTCTAATGGAAATGTTAAAGTAGTGAATGAGACCATGAACACATTTGGAAAATGTCTACTGAGGTAACAGATCAAGTGAGAAATAGGTTCATTGTTGAGACTTTTATACAATCTGACTAGTTTTAGCAACTGGAGGAGTCGCCCCCTGCTGGCTGGTAATAAGAATGCAGGTTTAAGGCACTTCTCAGAGCCAGAGGCTACATCCATCTTTAATATACACTCTGTGGTCGACCAGCTTGTTTTGATGAAAGCTGCTTTAAATGTCAAGCCAGTCACTTGAAACGTGTGTGTTCATGATGTTCTGTGGTTCTCAGTTCAGTCCTGTCGCGGTCGCTGTGGTGAGACGTTCAGACGAGGTCTGCAGTGTGAGTGTGATCCACAGTGTGTCCAGTTCAACACCTGCTGTCCTGACTACCAGCTGTACTGCGGTACGGACCAACAATCACAACACCACAATGTCCCACTGTACCTTAGCAACACAACTGTAGCACTAGGAGGACAAATGTTCCATAGAGGATGGAGGATGTCTAGGATTTGAGCAGCTGATCCAGTTTATTTTCTTCATCCATGTATCAGCTGATCCCTCACACGGTGTCTCTGTCCACAGATGCCAGCGTGTCAACAGTGCAACATCCCAGCAGGTTTCAGCCTCTCAGGGCCTCACGCTCAGGTTAGCAACCTTCATCACCTCCTAAATAACCAACCACTGCAGCTTTACACTGGGATTCGTTAAATATAGACAGCTTTACAGACAATAACTAATAACATCACAGAAAAACAACATCGGTACAACGGTAATCTGTTTCTTTTACTATGTTTGACCATGAAATTCTGACATTTTTTCTATATGTAAAGCAGGAAAACAATATTTTTTCAGATGTTTGCTTTTCTTTGAGAGAAAATGTATGTATATGAATGACACAAGTTTAACTATAATTTTACAGATTTTTCACGTTTTGTTAAATTGCAGTGAATATTTAGTAAAATCACAGAAAAAGAGCATTAATTTACATGTTGACTGTAATGTCTGTCAAAAATCTGTATATTTCAAAATAGTAATTTGTTTATTTAAAGGTTTGACTAAAATTACACCGTTTTAGGGTATTTATAAAAAATACTATTATATTAATGACTTGTTTTGCAGATATTTTCTATGATTTTCACAGGTTTTACAAATTACAAACATGACAGTATTCCATCATTTTTAACAGATTCTTTTTCTGGCACCCTTGCTGCCAGACTTTCATCGTTTTGTTCTTCTCCTTTTTGTCATTCTCTTCTTCTTTTATGCATCAATTTCTTTTTCTCCTTTAGGAAAACGGAAATCAGACAAAAGCCGGAAATGGTCCAACAGTGAGAGTGAGGAATGGTATTCAGGTAGATGGAGTTCTATGATAATGTGGAATTTACATGTAACACAGAGTCAGAAAATGTCATTCAGAATTAAACAAAGCCCTGCACTTTGACTGCAACACCTGCATGCAGAAATGTATTTCAAATTCGCAAAAGACTCAAAAACAACTGATTTGTCGTAAAAGTAAATGAATAAAATAAATCCAATAACAGCTGAGGAGGATGATGCTTTAAACAATATGAAGCTTTTGAGGCCCCTTTTTAAATAGAAGGCCGTCAGTCAGTAAGAGCAGTTCAACAGTTTTGGAAATGTGTTTGCTTTTAGAGTTGTTTCTCATGTTTGAACAGTAAACATGACAGCTTATACAGAATGCATTTACTATAATTGTATTTTGTATGTATATGTAGGAAGGGGTCGCTGCCCTCAGAACCAGGGGTCTCGTTGTCAGGGGGCTTCACGACCCATGAACCCACTGACCAGCGGCTCCTCTGGCTCCTCTGGTTCCTCTGGCTCCGGACGTCCTGCTGTTCCAACCAACCAGCTGCAATATGGTTTGGAATATTTCTCTCTTTCTAAGCTCAAAAGTTGTTTAATTACACTAAATCTTGCTCATGAATGGAAGGTGGTCTCAGTGTTCCTCTTTGCCCCTACAGGCAGGCATAACATCCCTGTTGGCCAGATGCCGATGCCCGTCCCTCCCTCCTACAGCGGGGCTCCATACTCCCCAGCACCAGGCTCCTTTCTGCCCGCCAACGGTGCTTTCTCTCGGGGCAACGGGGCTCCATACTCCCCAGCACCGGGCTCAGCTCTGCCTGTCAATGGTGCCTTCTATCATGGCAGCGGTGCTCCGGTGAGCCCCTCCACTCCCGGAGGTGCTGGCAGCAGAGTGAACGTCCATCTGGTGCTGTCACCTGGAGGAGTCGCTCCATCTGGGCCAAATCAAGGTTATTTCTACAGATATTATTTGAGTTTGTCTCATTGCTCGCTGTTGTATGTAAGATCAAATGATGCACTGCTGTGTCTGATCTTAGAGAGACGATCATTAACCTTTACCTTCTGAGACGAGTCTGTTAAAAATGAGTAAAACCCTTTTCATGTCCATCCACAGGTTTCAATGGTCCAGCAGGTTCCAGACCCAGCACCCTGCAGGACGTCGCCCAGGCTCTGGGGCTCTCTGTGGTGGATGGAGGACCTGCAGGACCAGGTAACGGTCGGACAGCTGGTCCTCTGGATGTGTCTGTGTACGAAGAGCTTCTAATAATCTAAACATATGTGTGTCTGTGTAGGATTCCTGTCTGATGCGGACCTCTGCAGTGACTCTCCCATCAATGGGCTGACCGCTCTCATCAACGGAACCATTCTGATATTTAAAGGTCAGACATGTGCTTAAAGTGGGTCGACAGGCAGCTTTTGAAAACATCTTATCACAGAAAGGTGTTTGATGATGTGATGACGGTCCCTGCAATTTTTGAGGAAGTCATTTGAGACTGTAATGTGATGATGTACAAGCTGTGTTTGTGTGTTTGTGTGTTTGTGTTGTAGGGGAGAGGTTCTGGTCAGTCGATCCAGTCAGTCGCTCAGTTGGTCGTCCTCAGAGCATCACAGACACTCTGGGTGTCCCGTCTCCCATCGACACCGTCTTCACTCGTCTGAACTGCCAAGGAAACACCTACATTGTCAAGGTAAGAATATATGAACTGTTATAGAACTGTTACTGCTGTCATTCTGCTTATTTGTCTCAAAACTTCTTTTTTAAATGAAATCACAACCATCTCACGACACTATCAGTCCTATCACTATTAACAATACAGCTGCTGTATAATACAGTAATGACAACAATTTGTACTACTGATACTAGACTAGTAGCACCACTAACTACCGCAGTTGTCAAAGAGTTAATATTAGAAACAATGACTTGAAAAAAAAATTAAATGGCAGTTTGTGAAATTTGCAAAGTAAAAGCACATGTAGATTCTTCTGTGAATTAATTTAGGGTGTTTAAAAAATGCCATTATTGCAGCACCTCTGTCTGTTTGCACCCTTCTGGACACATAATGCTTGATTTTCAAACTAAATACATGAATTATTTCCTAGTTTCTGCTCATTTTGTCTAAAGTGTTGCATGTATTGATGCTTTCTTTATTCATTTTCAAAGTTTTGGTCACTAAATGTTTGCTATAGAGCGTCCGTCAGTATTTAAATATATTGAATAACGTATTTTTATACCAAGAGGTGCAGCAGTATTGATGATATGAACACCAGGTGAAATCACAATGCACAGCCACTCTGGAAATCAGTGTGCAGTCAACAGTTCTCCTGTTTGTCTGCAGGGAGACCAGTACTGGCGTCTGGATGGGAACATGGCGATGGAGCCTGGTTACCCCAGACCTCTGACCTCCGAGTTTCCAGGTCTGACGGGACGCATCAGTGCTGCGCTGACCGTTCCAGCCACCAGAACCACACCGGAGACTGTGTTCTTCTTTAAGGATGGTGAGGAAGACAGTAACTGACTGACAGACAAGCCCAGGCTGCAGGGATTCACTGTCCTACTTAAAACTTTCCTCACTGGAGACTCTCTGGTTTTAACACAAACTAGTGCTTTGCATGGTTGAATGAACACGTCAGACTGAATGTTGGTGAAATGTAGATAAAATGACAAACAAAAAAAAGAATATTTCCAGTTTTCCATGGTGAGTTTGTCATCAATACACTTTTATGAAACAGTGATATTCGACGCCCTGTTTGTCCCTTTAGGAGACATCCTGCAGAAGTTCACCTTCCCA